TTTGTTTTAAGACTGTGTGTGTGTGTGTGTGTGTGTGTGTGTGTGTGTGATGATGCGTGTGAAAAGTTGCTGAAAACATATTGATATAGCTCCAGTAGAACACAGTTGTACTCCGACCGATGACCTCCCAGGAGAAAACCATGCACAAAGACTTGAAGACAGTTCTCACATAACTCTGTCATGGACAAGCCGAATGTTGAATGGGTGGAACCGTGGAAGACAAAAACCACACGTACAGGACTGAAAAAAACATAAAAATAAGAACACGGTCCGAACAAGAACAACAATGACAGACTGTTTCAATGGGACTTGCGCTGACTCATCAGGAGGCTGAACCCTCAACAGTCTGCAAAATCCCCATACTAACCCCTCTTGTAAATGGATGGACAAGAGATTAAATCATAAGCAGCAAGACAAGAGTGAGGTAACAAGGCACCACCCGGCAAACAACAGCAAGCACATAGGTTGGAGGGCACGGGGAAGATGGGTGGGCAGCCAAGCAACACGGCAAGCAGCAGGGGGGCATGATGAGCACCAGGGACCAAGGCAACAAGGAAGCAAGACAAAGTGGCCGGGCAGCCAGGCAGCCAGGCAGCCGGGGAAGCAAGACAGCAAACAGGGGAAGCGAGAAGGCAGTGAAGCAGTGGGGCGGCACTCACAAGGCAACACCACAAGCCAACCGAAAGGGCAACCAGCCAGCAAGGCAGCACAGACACTCGTACAGCAGAGACCAAATCCTTCTCACACCACAAGTAGAACTCGTCAGACTGCAGGTTCAGGCCACCATTTAGCCAGCGACTCACTTTGACGAATGTCTGTTGTGACCCAGGGAAAACAGACACAGGCATCTTGGATACATCAGCCCCTCTGATAGTGCTGCAGCCACTCCGCACAGACAGGCACTTACTATCTGGCACATCTTAGAGGTGCTCACTTACACAGGGAGAGGCACAAGAAAAGACCAGAGAATGTACAAAGTGGACATCAGATTGGAAATAGTCAGAATGAAAATAAGAAAAAGCGAAGTCATAGATGAATATGATTCTGTGTGCATGTATGATGAGGCGAGTGTGCGAGTGTGTGTTGTCATGTTCGCTATGTGCAACTCCACAAAAAGAAAGCATGACTGTGCCAGACTGTTTCATCGGACTTTCACCGACTCAGCAGGAGGTTGAACCCCGGCAGTCTGCCCAGAGTTAGCGATACCCCTGAGAAAAGTGATCAACTTCACTCACACCAACCCTGCAACCCTAGCAGACCGTCGGTCCAAACCGCTGACAAGAACAGCAGTAAGCCCAAGAAACTAATTTGTCACAGCCATAAAACCCAATCTACACACCCACTCAGCCATGAATACCCAATGGCATGACCACTGGTCTGGCCCCGACCCTAGCCGCATGGATCCGCCGCAATAGAGAGCTAGCAAGGCTGTGTTGTGCGTTGGCACGTTCGCTATACACATTGCCACCAAAAAAAGCATGACCGTGCCAGACTGTTTCTTCAGACTTTCACCGACGCATTAGGAGGTTGAACCTCGGCAGTCTGCCCAGGATGCATTTGACTGATGGATAAGGACTCGCCACGTCACCCAGAGTTAGCGATACCCCTGAGAAAATTGGTGGACTTTACTCACACCAACCCTGCAACCCTAGCAGACTGTCGGTCCAAACCCCTGACAAGAACGGCAGTAAGTCTGATAGACTAATCTGCCACAGTCATAAAACCCAGTCTACATATCCTCTCACCCATGGATACCCAATGACATGACCACTAGTATGGTCCCAACCCTGGCTGCATCGGATCTAACTGAACGGAGAGCTTAGCAAGTGTGTGTGTGCGTGTGTGTGTGTGTGCTGTGCATGTGTGTGTGAATGTATTGATTGTCAAACTTGCGCCTGCCTAAAATTTGATCTCCTGTGTGCAAAACGGATTGACAGTTCTTCGGATTGGATTCATCACGACGTCACAGTTGATGTTCACCTGCAAAGAAGCACATTCAGAAGAATCAGAACACATTGTGGTGGATGTGAGCAAAGACATGTCACTCTAGTCACATATGAGATTGGGCATGTGGGGAAGGTCAAGGGTAATGCCATGGGGAAGCATGTGAGAAATACACAGTGGAAGACTCGATCAAATGTGCTGACCCAGGAAATACATGCAGGACACACCCATAAGACAATGTGGGCAGAGAATCAACCTGTATACCAGTCGCAAGGCCAGAATACATAGACGAAAACTTCTCACCCAACCATACACAGACGAAGGGAGGCACCAGAAGAAGCGTAGGGATTGACGAAGAAGGACTACTGAAGAAATGGTGCAATGATTCAATAATTCATACCTGTGTCACCGTGCAGTCCCTCACACGCAACAGACAAGTTCACACGATATGAGAGCACACGTAATTTCTTTGGAAATGCTGAACTCAGGCGGCTATGGCCGCTGTCAAAAACGAACAAATATGTATGTCTCCCTCTCCCTCTCCCTCTCTCTCTTCTATGCTAACCTCAAGACTCGATATCCCTCTCTGAATGTTTGCGCTTCCCTCTCTCTTATCATCTTCTCTCTCCTACCCCCTATGGTGCTGGGCGCCCTTGACTGCTACTAACACTATTCTCTCCTCCCTCATCTGTTGTCGCACAATGATGCAGCAGCGCTTCTGCAACAGACACGAATGGAAAGTTTTTATTTATTTATTATATATATTGCGCAGGGGCCATGCTAATCTTCTCTGTATCGTTCCAATTTTAACGGATGTCCCGAAAGGACAGACACAAATGGAAAGTTATGTTGACACGCAACTTCACTTTTGTACTTGCTGTAGTTCAAATTAGACTTGTGACAATGGTCGACTACCTGCCTTGGCCAAGTCAGCGTCAATGCTTCAGACTGTCATAGGCCTTTCCTGGGACTGAGCTGTGGCTGACCAGGAATGACTTCCTACCAGTACCTAATGCCCTACTCGTATGGACTTTTGGGCCTACCGGTTTCTGTATGACCTACTTGTGAGGTACCTACTCGAACCTAAGTGGGCCTATCCTCAAGAGTCAAGACCCATGGTACATAGGAAATTGGGACTCAGTGTCGTGACGGAACCTCGAGATGCGTGAATCTTGTCACTCCCGCTGGCCTAATTTCGAGGTCCTCTGAGAAAACTTTCTCCTTATCGGTCTGCTTCACGTATTCCCCTATGAGCTTGTTCATGATCTAAGACGATGCAGGAGCACTCTTTTTTTTTTTCACACAACACACATGCCCCATCTATTCTGGGGGGCGCCAGTCCGGTTACTTCTTACCAGCAAGCAAGAGTACAAGAATTTGAAAAGAGAAAGGAGAGTCAAGAAGGAGACGGGCAACCTCAGCCCGGCACTAGCCACTACGGGCGAGGGGGATCGTAACACTACGTGTCACAGGCTATGCTGCGGCCCTTCTACTGGGGTGCCCATGCTGGCCGGGAAACATCCCCACTGTACCCAGTCACACAGCATGGGGATCCCTAGGAGGGTCGGCCTTCGGCCTGTGCCATAGTGGTGATGCACAAGCCCCATGGTTCAATGTGTACCAAAGCAAAACCTCACTGACCCTCGATGTTCGGACACTGCCCCACATTATTTTCATTTCTAGTTACCCAATCACTTTCCATGCCTTCCCATCATCTCCCCACTTTTCTACTACTCACCTCTCATGAGAACACTTTCCCCACACATATATACAGCACTTCACCTAGTACCCCCAGCATATGTACAGCCCACCGACCTCACTGCACACCTAGTAACAAGTCTTTCTTTTCACCCTAGAATACATCAAGCTGAGCTGATAGGTCTTCTTCCTCCAACGCTTCCATGTGGTCACAAACAGCCTTCTGAAGACCATGGTCCCTCCCCCACCGCCCATCTTGACCAGCTCATCGTACCTTCGCCATATTTCCCAGAACTTTACCCTCCTACCCACTGGCTGGCGTTTATACTTGTAGTACTCAGACATCAGGGACTGTCTAATGCATTTGAGCAGTTTGTACCTGACCTCCTGCAGATTGACCGCCCTGCCTTGCCTAATCCTCTCATTTCCCAGAGTCCATATCACCCATAATACCACTGCCCAGACAGGCCGAGAAGTACATAGGGAGTTCCCATGCACTTCACGGGGAGGTAGTTGGACAGAGGCAGTAGTAGTCTTCAGGATTCGGCCGCAGCACTCAGGAGGAGCGCTGCCAGGAGTAGCTTAGCGCTAGCAGTAGTCTTCAGCGCTGGGCGTTAGTAGGTGGTAGTAGTAGTGTGGGAGAGAGATGGCTGGCGGAGGCCAGCGAGACTTACCTGTGGCGCCATAGCTCCAGCTCCATCTTCGAGGTACCTGCATCAAGGCGCCAGCTTTACAGGTTAGTACCGGACTGAGAGAGAGAGAGAGAGTTCTTCTTCTTCCTCTTCTAAGTCCACCATCTCTTCTTCACCCTCTCACCACCTGACTTCTCAGTATCAGTGGACCACGACAGAGAGAGAGTTGTGACTTGAGACTTGACGGCATTGGATTCAGACTCGACATTGGGATTCAGACATTTTGACGAGGGACTATTTGGGCCTGTGCCGAAGACTTGGTGTTGACGACATTCCCATCTTCCCCTCTTCTTCGTCTACCCCCCCTCTTCTTCGTCTGTGTATGGTTGGGGCTGGCGTATTCTTCCTGTGTGAGTGCCAGACCCCTTCACACCATGGAGTGATGATGACGATGATGTATGTTCGGGGCTGCATTGCAATATTGATTGTTCGGATCATTGGTATCTAAGTC